TTAACATAGCCTGCATTTCCAAAGGACTAAACTTTTATACAGTATTAATAAGTTCATTTCAGAAGGTGCAACTTAAAATCCGCTCCTCTCCAGTGGAAAAATAAAAGCCAAAATGCTATAGGGAGAGGGCAGCACATGCTGCTTTGCCTCTAGGGCCCTTGCAACGTTGGCACAGAGTTGCAGTTTTTGCTTTAGACACAGCTGACACTATCTCTGCATTGTTGTGTCCCTTGTATGTGCACAGTAGGATCTAGAAAGTGGGTTATAATGGACACAATCCCCCCGCAAGGTTGATGGAAAAATAAAAGCTGTGCACAAAAGGGCAGGATGCTACTCCATACAACGGAGATACATTGTGGTTCGATTTGCTGCACTTCTCAGTGCATTTAAATGAGTTCTGGGCRACCAGTTTTGTCAGTATAGAATGCCCTCACGCACCCTGCTCTGACCCTTCTGCCTGCGACCTTAGTGACAGAGTGCAGAGACTTAAATTCCTTTTGCATTTTTGTACAGTTTGCACCCTGCCAGTCCCTACCTGCATTGGCTCTGGCTGCTACTRAACAACCAAGTTAAAGATGTTCCTGCTTCCTAACCCAGGCGCGCGTTAGAGGTGCTCCTCTTGGCGGCCTTCTYGCCGCATGCGCTACCAGAGGTGTTAATGCTGCTGTGCCAGGAAACAGCTGGAGCACTAGGTGCTGCTCCCTGGTGCTGATGCCTCACAGCGGGAATGGGGCTGCTCACGCTGAGGGGGTTAGAGTGTGAACAGTTCATACCTCGTTCATGTAGGCGCAGGCAGCTGCCATCAGCACCAACCTCTGGTACTCTCCCCTTTGGGGCCTCTCCCGCCAGCCCTGTCCTTACCTGCTGCACTCGGGATACAGGACCCTATTTTCTCCTGTGTTTAAACACAGAGACAAGGAGCAGCTCAGYCCAGGTCTGTGTCGTGTGTTGGCAGCCTCTCCAGAGCCGCAGCGAGAGGCGGCACATGGCAGCTCGCAGCGGCCTTCACGGTCTCTGCAGGATGAACGAGGATCCTTCACTGGAGCTCAGCGGGCTTGGAATTGCACAAATAATGCTGAAGATGGTTATATTTTGAAGACAAAATTATTCCATTGTAGCTCTGACCTTGCTCAGACATCCGCATAGTTGTGCTTAGTGCAAGGAGCTGCTCCGTAGAACAGGAATCTCTATCTGAGCTGTCACCTGGGCTTCCTTAGGGAGAAAGACAGAGACATTCCTAGGACATGTTGCTCAKCTCAGCTGAACTGCCCTTTAAACTTGCTTATTTATACTAGAGGAGCATCTTACAGCAACTGGGGCTGCTGGTAATCTGCATCCTATGTATTCATACTAGRTGACCTGAACCCTTGCTGGAGGGCATGGGACCAATGCAGAGCATAAAACGTAAGTGTCCACACAAATACTGGACATAGTTTCTGGTAGCGAGGTAAACACTGTCTGTTAGATTCACCGTTCCATGATCTGGCTGCCCAAACTCTTATCRCTCCTTTGCTGGGAGTATCTTTCAGTCTTTACTTAAAATTAGCACAAAGACTTACTGTGTCTCACTAAATAGATTCTCTGGCTTATATGACAGTGTTACATCTTTAAAGCAGCAAAAAAGACTGGCTTTCAAAATCAGTCTTGCCTACCACTTATATTCTCTCCAAGGAATAAATTTATTTTATTCCTACTGTAATGATAGAGAGAAAAAGAAAAGAAGTGGAATCAAACAAGCAAGGTTATCCGTAAAAATATTAAGTGTATTAATATATACTTAACACAGGGTTGCTTTACTCTTTTCCCAAGAACAGAAATTGCTCTAATGAATCAGACTACCTCAGCATAGTTCTAAGCCGTATTCACTTGCAGTGTCAGGTGAAGTCTGAGGTTTCAGAGGAAAAGAAAACGAGACGGGCAGGTGCAGGTAACCAGTGCAGTGCAGTTTCCATTGCCAGGGAATAAGAAACCCTTCAGCTGATGCCGCTGAGTTTCGCTTCCAAATATCACCATTTTTTTTCCCCTTAACAAAGTTCTGACTAAAGTGCTTATCACTTCTATAAACACTTGAGTCRCGTCTAAGTTAGAAGTGCTAACTTTGTGCTCAATAAGAAAACGTAAAAGTTATTGCCGAGGCTCTCACGAGCTGGCCCAGTGCTTTGCACAGTGGCACCCCTTAAACCAGAGCAGCGACGCCGTGATCTGCATTTCTGCTGTTTCAGAGAGCTCATCTGCATAGGCAGGGACTGTGCTCCCCTGTACACAGTTTAACACGCTGCCCTCACTCAGAAGCAAATCACAGAGACAGTTTTCATTAGGYTTCATCTCTGTATGTCCAGAAGATGGGTGACTTATTCCATTACTCAAGAGAAAAAAAAAATAACTGGACAGCTCAGTTTTCTACAGCCAACCATGGGTGATGCAACCCTGCACCCTCCCAGTGCCGTGTCAGCCGCAGCTGCGCGCAGGTAACTCGGATACGGCTCCGGCCATCCAGAACGCACCGACCYGAGATCCCTGCGTGTCCCTGTCCTCCCTGCTTTGCGGCCCATTCTTGTGCTCCTGCTGCAGTCAGTGCTACCATTCCAGCCCATGTAAACACGCTTGAGCTGGCCAAAAAGCTTAGGAATGCACAGTTAGGTTTCAGCTTCTGTCTGGAATTATGGAAATTCAAAATATTCAATACACAAAACATGCAGGTCACAGATTCCCAAAGCATTATTCTATGACATTTAAAGAACAGCTAGAGTCCTTCTCCATTGMTGTAAGCCTGGTAACAAGCAAATTCATCCATAGTAATAATATATTGTTAAAGTTGCTTTTATAAACAAAATATTTTTATTAGACTTGCACATGGGTCATTTTAAACCAAGAGTTAAAATACAGTTGATATTAAGCTATTGTTTCAGATCATTTCATTACAGTCAAAATTATTAAAGAATAACCTTGAGAAATAATATTTATCTGAAAAAAAAACTGTTTAAAATATAAGTGGGATTTTTTTCTTTTCTTACTTAGTGTGTTTTGACAGTATATTTTAAACTAGACAATATATCTCCCACAGCATATTCACTAAGCAAAAGCAACTGAAGACACACTGTTTCGCTAATTTGTTTCCATTTGTCGTGTGGAAATGACCCCATGATCACATTTATTTTTCAGTGTCTGTAAATATAATTAACTTTCACCAAGCTTGCCCAACAGGAGTAAGAGTTCTGTCCAATAAAACCAGCTTGAGAATTTGGAGATATTCCAGCTACTTAATTGAGTTTACTGCATATGTGTTTCTAAGGACACCCCAAATAGAGAAATCCCTTCTCTTATTTTTTTTCCCTTGTTTTACAGCAGCATCATAGCAGCATTGGCCTATGTTGAACTGGCCTRGTCCAGTACCCAGCAGCTGGGGCAGAGTGGCAGAAATAAGGGGTGAAAAAGCACCTTTGCGTGTGGCTTCTACAGACCACACGTATCACCTGAGCATTCAGATATAGTATTAKTTTTAGTWTTTTTTTTCCATGTTTCATTCCTAGATTAAATWAAAAGGCTGGCCAGGTGTAAAACAAAGAATAGTCTCTTCTAAAACAAGAGACCTTTTATACAACACATAAGCTCAGCATCTTACTTCAGAATGATGAAATGTCATTAGACTATAAGCCTTAACTTACAAAGGCAACAAAGAAAAGGCAACTGAGTATGTATCTTTAAAGTCCATAGACAGAATTGTAAATTATTACTAGTTGTCATTTTAATCATGGGCATATTCAGAATTTTCATTCAGACTTCAGTTCTTTTACCCTGATGCTGCGCAAACAACACAGAGTTATAGTAAAACTATTTTAGGACAGTTATAATATAACTATTTTAGGATGCTATTGTAAATGTAAGGTTTTTTTTTGTGTGTGTGTGTGTGTGTGTGTGTGTGTGTGTGTGTGTGTGTCTGGCAGTATGCTTAAGACAACTTACTTCAACTAAATTATGTTTTCAGGGATCTACCTGATTTTTGGAGACACTTTGTTCTCTTTTTGCATAATGTTCCTCGCAGGTTCAATGTTATTTCTCTCTCAGCCCTGGGTTATCAGGCATGTTATTAGCAATGCTCCTCTGTGCATTTGATTGCTTTGCTCATCAGCTAAACCACAGAGACCATTTTCATGCTCAAAGCAATGCTCACATTGCAGTGCAAAACAAATCCTTCTCTTAGGCCTCTTACTTCAGCAAGGAAAGGTGTGTCCAGCCTGGCTCACATTACACGTGGCAACTTGCTACCTACTGGATCATTTACAGGACGTGCCCATTTCCTCATAGCAACAAGTAGGGCCTGCCTGTCTTCACCAATGTCACTAACATCTCAAAAGTCCTGGTTGTCTAACTCAAAGAACCTGGACGGGTTTACCCTTTTAAAGGACAATCTGATGAAAGGAGTTCAAACCACAAGCAGTATTTCAACTTTCTTCAGTGTACAATCAACTTAATTTGATGCAACTTAAACTGTTTGCCAAGCAATTTAACCGAAATCAAAAACTGCCTCCCTGAGCTGGTTACTTCATGTGGAGACTTACATAACGCATCACTTCAAAYTCATGTCAAGATAAAGGTATCTCTCCTATAAAGAGGATTCCTTCTACATACTCTCTTCCTGATTTTTTATTTTTTGCTTGTCTTTTATTAGTGCCTGCATGACACTAATGCATGTCAGAAGTGCCAGTTCCGACAGCTTCTCAACACGCCCATTTTCACAACATTTGTTGCCACACTATTCTACAATATGTTATAATTGCTGGCACAGTGTTAGGTACTAAGCCTAATTTACATATAGCAAATATGTTTTGAAAAAGGCAAGCTTTCTACTTCTCCATTCAGTATATGAGCACTTTCCCAAGTTTTCATAGGTGTTTTGCAGTAATAATATGACATACAACAAAATTAAATCATGATGAAATTAACTGCTAAAGCAAAAAGTTGAGTGTTTTAGAGGGTCATCACCTTCATCTAGTGGAAACTGCACATACATTTTATGAAGTTGTGTAATAGCACTGTAAACCGTATCACATCATTTTCCAGGCCTGAAAGCTGTTTACCAGCAGCTAGCTCATATCTTCTCCAGACTCAGTCACAGGAAATATGTGTAGAACTTGGCGGAAGGAAGGACTTTATAGCAGTAACCATGCAAACAGTTAAAAAAGCACCGATCTTGCAACTGCACCTGGAAGGTAATATATCTGAGCAAGATGGAGAGCAACTTCTCCAAAGGTCTGATCAAAAATCACTAAGGAAACTAGTCCGCACAAAATGTTTTACCTTTCTAAGTGTTTGACAGTATAGTAAGCAGGTCACTGGAAGCAGCCCTGGCATACCAACTGCAACAAAAACTGTGATCTGAGTAACAAGTATACTGCACATCTGCAGAAGCACCAAGACAATACAGAATAAAACCTTATCTATCAAGTCTCTCCCATAAATGGTCCCCTATACAGATGCAAATTTTAATGTACATTTTAGTATTTTGGTATACATTTTAGAATAGAACCAATTCCATAAAAACAAAGCCACTGCAAAGTTGGAGGAAAAAATCTAGATGTGAATTTAAACTTGAAAAAAAGATCAACAGCAAGCATTTTATAATAATCTGATAAACAATAAATTCTGATACTTTTCATAAAAAGCAAATTTCTTCAATTCTTGAGATAAACTGCAGATTATGATTGTAAAGATTTACTAGATTATACCACACTCTCTTATTTTCTGCTGTTTTATACACTGCAAACAAGCGGTGAACTGAATTTTCAGCTGAACTTACAAGTTAAAGCACATGAAAGATCACAACATTCAACTTTTCTTTCCCAGTATAAAAAGAAGAGAGTGGCAACCTGGGTGGGAGACAGATATGCTTTAGACACAGTCTGTCAAAATGATTTCCAGACACAGACAGTTATTTTAAATGAACTGCACCTGCATTATTTAAATGAATCTAGCTCCTTGTTTCTGTCCAACCTCACTGAGACCTGTGCTCCTATGTGAGTTTAAAATCCTAGGGTCGGGTATTTTTTGGAAGAGTGTGAGTCTCCTAGCAGCTCTGCATATCCTAGCTTGTGTGCTGGAACTGTCAATGCACTTCATTACAGCTAGGTGTATGGCTAGTTTCTAGGTTCGTATTAATTTTGTTATCCATCTTCTGCAAAAGCGCGGGAAGATCAAGCACAGATGAAATAACGTAGTGAGGTACYGGGGCGGTATCTAAGGGGGTCGTCATGGTTTTGTTTAGCCAGACAGTTGCTTTCAAGCCTGCGTTCAGGCCTCCTTGGATATCCGTGTCTAGAGAGTCGCCAACCATAATGCACTCGGCGGGCTGCACCCCTAGGAGATCGCAGCAGTGGTGGAATATGGACGGCGCCGGCTTCTCCTCCTTCTGCTCGCCTCCCACGACGATGGCGTCGAAGTAGGGCTGGCAGGCGCACGCCTCGATCTTCTCGCGCTGCGTCTGCCTGTCGCCGTTGGTGAGGAGCAGCAGGCGCACAGCCTTGCGCAGCTCTGTGAGCATCCCCCGCGTGTCCTCGGCGAGCGTCAGGTGCCGCAGGCGCGTCGTCTTCCACAAGAAGTAGCACTCAGCGGCCAGGCTGCGGTTCGCCTGCCCGCCCAGCGTCTCCTGGATGGCCTCCTCCCAGTGCGAGATCCGCAGCTCCGTGATGCACGTCGTGGCCGGGTCGTGGCACTCGCGCAGCAGCTTCGCCCGCACCCKGTCGCAAATGGCGCGCGCCTCGCCCTCGCCGCAGTGGTGCTTGGCCTGCAGGGCGCTGACCACCTTCAGCGAGCGCGGGAGGCCGTGAGGGAGCCGCCCGCCCGCACCCCGCGGCCGCTAACGGCTCCGCGCCGCAGCCGCCGGCCCGGGAAGGGACGGGAACGGGGGACACACGCGGGACAAGCACGTACCTCCTCGATGGCGCGGCGTCCCGCCGCCGCCGTGTCCACCAGCGTGTTGTCCAGGTCGAAGAAAACGGCCTTGACGCCCTGCAGCCCCATGGCGCCGCTCCGCTCGGCTCCGCTCYAACGGCCGCGGCGCCGCCCGGCACCGCGAGAGCCGCCGCGCCCGCCGCCATCCCCGCCCACGTCACGTCATGGCGCTGGGGCGGCGCCGCGGCCGTTGGYGGCCGTTAACRGCTGCTGCRGAACGGCCGGGCCGGCCSCGCGCCCGTCTGCTTTAGAACTCCCCATTCCCCTGCTTCACAATCATTCGGTCGTGATAAAGCTAAAGCAAATGGTTTCTGTAAATACTTCGGCATTTRGGGAACTGGTATATAATAGATTATTTGAAATTGTGAAGTCTGGTATTTTCTGAAACAACAGGAATCCAAAAAGGGATGAAAGTACAAATTTTACACTTTTGTGTACTTGCTGCTGTGTCAGAATTATCATTTTACACAAAGTGAAGTTTAACAGCAGGTTCGATTAGTCATCTATCATTCTTGCATTAACTGGATAAATACAGTACCTGTTTCCATCTCCACCCAGCATATTTTATTGATTGTTATTGCCTTGCTAATACTAGTTAGATACTAGCATTAAAGTCAAATGTAACTTGCAGCACAGGAGGAAACTGTTTACATGTTACCAGAGATGCTAGAAGTTCACTACAAGCTGCTTACAATTTTGAAAACATCCCAGGGGGAGTAGAATCACCTTTACTGTTTGTATTTTAACAGCTCCTAGTGTGATTTTTAAGGAAATATTCTACAAATAATTTCCAGAATGGACCATCACYATCCCCAAGAGGAATTTGGAACACAGTTTATGCTGGAGATGAAGGAGTATGGGGGGTGGCCAGGCCACCCATTTTCAAAGCTGGTGAATGTTTCCTGGCGCCCACTAGTTTATTGGAAAAGGCAYAGCGTAGTTGTACAGGAAAGTACTATAAGGTGTATATATAAATACTTGTAAAATTCCCTGCAAGGTCTTTCAATTTTGWATAGTTTTTGCCATGCTGAATTTGTATGAACCCTGTGGTTAGGAAATAAGGCAATAAGGCCACTTCCATCAGCACTGCAGCATGTAAYATCTGTGGTGCTTTCTTACACTTTCAAAAATACACACTGCTTTTTCATTGTTCTTTCTGTGTCATTTTTGGAGACCATAAAAGTTTCACAGACTCATGTTTTCTTTCCCACCTCCTCAGTTGTCTGGTTCCTACTGCTACCCCTACTGCTGCAAGGGGTGCAGGCAGTGAAGTCCAGGCTGTCTGGATTGACTAAACCCATGCAGCTCCAAGAAACGGCAAAATGTTWGTTACACAACTGATCTGCAAATTTCCGAGGCTCAGCATGGCAATCTTGGTGTGATTTCTGAAAAGCAAAAAGTTGGTTTTGCTAAATGCATGCTTAGCAATGCAAAAGAGATAATGAAGCACCATGTAGAGATGATGATGGATTTATTAATTAATTTATTTTTTTAACCATAGTGCAACTTCATTTGGAATATTTTGATCTCGTTGATCATGTCATTTAAAAAAAAAAAATCCCAGCAACTGCAGAACTGGAAAGATTTCCAAGAAAGGTAAGGTAATAAAGGTAAATAAGAGCTGAAGGGAGAATGTATGGAGAGAGATTGCAGTAAAATGAGAAGCAATGGGGTGCAATCAACTGATGGGAGAATGGCATTCTCTTCTCTCAAACTAAAAGGTTAACTAAAAGATTAGTAAGTAAGCTCACAATTAAAAGCACATAAAAGGCAGTACAGCTTTTAAAGGTGCCACAGTGCCGGTGGCAAAACACTTCTTTGGGAAGCTGCTGAAGTTAAGAGCATGAGGTTGCTGATTCAGAGCTCCCACATGAAGTGCGGGAAAAAATGAATGAAATATCAGGAAATGAAATATCGGGAGACACCGAGGCCTGTCCAGGGGTGCGGAATCGGCCGGCGCCGAGGCTGCTTTTGGGGTTCACCCTCCGTGCCGGGGTGCGGAGCAGCGCTGCCCGCCCCGCGCCCCGGCCTCGCCCCGCGCCCCGGCCTCGCCTCGCGCCCCGGCGCTTTCGCTTTCGGTTCCGGCCGCGGGCAGCGGGAAACGAAACCGGGGCGGCGGCTGCGTCGCGCTGCGCTGCTGCTGCCGCCGCTGCCGCTGCTGCCGCCGCTGCTGCTGCTCGCGGGGCTGCCGCAGGTAACGGCGGGGGCTCCCGGCGGCGCCGCGGGCTGCGGCGGACGGGACGGGACGGGACGGGACGGGGCGGCCGCGCTCGGGGGCAGCGCTCGGGCCGCGGCGGGCGCCCCACTGCACGGGCACTTCCCGTATTCCCTGGAACCTTCCTTGGAATAGTTGCCCCGACGGGAGATCGGAAATGCTCTCCCTTGCAGCCCTTGCTGCTTCCCCCCCCCGCCATGTTATTAGGTGCTTTTAACCTCCCTACCGCCAAGTTAAGAATTCCTGCTATTAAATTGCTTGGTGCTTTTTAGTGGAGTGCGTTATCTTCTGCTTGCCTGAGTTGTTACTCTTGCCGTGGGTTTATCTTTGTGTGTTCCYGGGGGCCTGGCAATAATCACATTTTTAAAGGATGTGCCAAAATGTCTCCTGGACTCCTCTGGAAGACCTCCTTTTGGTTCTGTCAGGAGAAGCATTACTGATTTTTTTTTTCCCCTCCTGACATAGTCATCAATTCAGCTTTTTCTTGCGACATCCTCATTAATGACTAGTTTCACTTCTAAAATATGTAATTAAAATGGGTTAATAGGTTTTGAAAAACAGTTGCGAATCAACTGCTTTGGCTAGAACCCCTATAGAACCCTCCTTCCCTCCTTGCCTCCTTCCTTTTTTTTTTCTTTTTTCTTTTTTCTTTTTTTTCCCCCTTCAGAGATTGTGCCAAGATGGACCGAGACAGCATGGCCAAGATCAACCATTATTGTCAGAAGAATAAATTTATCCTGAAATATATTGATGTCAGCATGACCGGCCCTTCTCATTATCCTGAGTAAGTTCGGAAAGYCGATGAATCTGGGGACACTTAGTGCAGAGCACAGAGCACCTACAGCTTGAGACCAGTAGCTTTTTAGGACCCATGGAAAGTGCTGTACTGTTACAARTGTGTCGTGGGGAATCTCGGGAGGGCTGGGGATTATAGCAAGTATTTGAGTTTATGATGCATGCTAAATTAAATGCTTTTTATTATTCAGTTTTACAAGGGTGTTTACAGGAGTTACTTTTGATTTCTGATAATCCTAAATGTTTGCATGAGGGTTGGGTGCATTATGGGCAATCTTTGAACATTTGTTGAAGAAGGGTCTTTTTCCTTAAACCTCATGCTAATAGTCAGGATGTCTCTCTGCAAGTGCAGTCTTCCACACTGCCGGTTGGCACTGCCCATGCTAGGCTATTACTAGACCTAAACATTCACAGTATTCAAGCTCTAGTTCCGAAAACTGCYTGGCTTTGGGGGACCAATATTTCATTAAAGGGGAGGGAAACTTGAAGAGCACAGTTTTATCAGAGAGTAAGGCTGAGATAATGAAAATAAGTGAACTCTTGAAATCATTCCACTCTTCATGAGACAGATTCTTCCACAGAGAAGCTCATGCTGTTCTGCCTAAACTGCTGCTTGGTGTGGAATCTTTCTTATTTAGCTAATCAATTAATTAGGTTAATTAATTAGCTTCAGTAACTTTATGCTGACCTGCAAAGTGAAGAACAGGTAAGTGCTGAGATCATAGTGAAACAGTCACTTCTACCTGATGTGAGTCTGTGCTGCTGCCAAAAGCAGAAACCAGTCGCCCTCCTCTCCTCTGTTAACCAGTTTCCTGGTCTGGCTTACGGTGTAGCTGCATGAACAGTTGTGCAAGGGAAATAGTTGAGGTTGAGAAGCAGTGGCTGTATGTGCTGATTTTGTAGTTCTTGGGGTTTTGTTTTTTGTTTTTTGAGAATGGATAAAAAGGGACTGCCTTCAACTTTTTGTCACATGAAGTCTCACACGTTTTTTTGGCACCTACTAAATACTGCATGTAACAGTATATCAAAGGTGTGAGTAATGCCTCTTCTATATCCCTGAAACTTAAGCTAGATCATCCTTTCCCTCCATATAGTTTTGTAGCACTGAGATAAATCCTGGTGTTAGAATTTCACAGGTCTGCGTTTAATAGTGCTAACTTGATACACTCTTTAGTGATTTCACTTAAGCAGTTTGGTATCTAATAGCAATGTGGGTKAGAAGAAGAAAAGAATATAGATTTATGATTAGGGAGAAAGCATAATTATTTAGATTTTTTTGATTATGATAATCAGAAGCTGATATAATAACTCACATGAATGTTCAAACACCTTCATGATTAATCTATAGTGTGTGTGTATACATATAGTGTATGTGTATACATATAGTGTATACATATAGTATACATGTAGTGTGTGTGTGTGTGTATATATATATATAAGATCAAATAAATTGTATGGGACGTGTAAGTATGTTTCTGTAATTCTATGTTTGTATAATTTCTTCATTACAGATTTACAGTTGCAGTTAAAATAAATGAGGAAGTATATGGCAAAGGCACTGGTAAATCTAAGAAGGAAGCAAGAGCAATAGCAGCAAAAAARGCATGGGAAATGATAGAAGGAAAGGTGAGTAAAGTGCAAGATTTTTTTTATAAAGGTTGAAGGTGAATCACTAAAAGTAGAGAGCAAAGTAWTATTGCCCTGCTGCCAGAAGGGGAGTCTGCGAAGTATTTAGAATTTATTACACTCCTGAGTTAACAATCCAGATTTTAAGAGTTCCCACACTGATCACCCTGGTGGTACTTGTTTATCTTGTTTATGTTATTTTTTTTTTTTTTAACAGACTTAGGGTCAGATTGGCAGTTGTCCTGGTTCCATGTACCAAAGCCTAGAGATGTCTCATTTTTCACTGGTCATGTTCAGCTAGCAATGGGAACATTTGCTTTTAGTAACCATCTATTACCCTAAGTTTTAATAGCTCTCAGATTCTGCTGCTGCAGAAGTCAGTATAAGMTGCGTGTAAGTGGAAAACTTCTCCCTGTGGCAGGGCCTTGTTTTTCCCTTCCTTGGGGGTAAGTTAGGTAAATGCTTTTGGCYGGTTAACAACTTCCATGGAGAGCCTCAATCTTCCTCGCTCCCCTTGAGCCCAAGGCACTGGGGCCTAGAGGGACTGGGGTTTAGAGGGACTGGACATGGCTGGACCCATCTCTGAACAGAGAGATCAGAATCTGTGGTAGCTGTGGGCCTGGCTCTGGCAGAACTGGATTTACCAACAGTCTCTCGACTGTAGGTCYGGCTGCCTTAAAGAGCCGAGTTCACAAAAAGCAGGATTTATTCAAATGCCATATTTACTAAGCAGGTTTCCAATGTCAGTCAGAAAATTCTCTGCTACACGTGGGGTTCTTCGCTAGCTCTAATGCCCAAATGTGCAATAATCACTAACCCAAGAAGATGGGAGAGGTTCCTCATCCTCAAACAATCTCCTCAGGCAGTGTCATGACCGAGGGGAGAKCTCCCCATTGAAGACCCGCTGCTTCCAAGGAGAACCTAGCTCCAACTTGGAAAGTCCTGGGTTAATTTTAGACCCTAGTCCAATCGGGATGTGGTCCACATGTTCCTCCTTCTGCAACACGTGCTGTTTGTGATTAGATGAACAGTAGGTGCAAGACAGTCGAAGTGCACCCGTTTTGTAGTGAACTGTACCTGTCTCGCACAGTCCTTGACTGGATTTTCCTCTTCTGCAGGACAAAGGAGCTGAGGGGCAGCTGCAACAAAGGGATTTGTCTGAAATCAGTTCCACGACTTCGACATCTAGTAATTCCCATGACATGTCAAATCTGTCTGACTCCGAGTAAGTTGTATTCATCGATAGTGTAATACTGACAACATTTATTTACTTATTTAGAGAATCATGAGAATCATGTGATTGAGTTTTAACCAAAATTGCTCATTGTTTCTTTATTGCAGGATGAAGAGGTTCAAGGTTGTATTTCTYTAAATTCAGAGGAAAATTCATTATGATTGTGCAGGTCTTTCTGACCTGAATCTTTACAATTTAGCTTATAATGGTTTTAGAGTTTTCTGATGTAATTATAGTTTGCTACAAATAATTTTTTTCARAAGCATTTCTATTGGGACATAAACAAAATGTTACTCTATTCAGCAGCTTTATTTAATTCCTTTTTTAGCACTCCTTTTCCTATTGTGGTATTCCTGTGAACTGAATATAATTTAATTTCTGTACTCATCTGTGTTCTACATTCTGATTTCTTTTTTTTTTTTTTTCTCCTTTCACTCTGTGTAAATCTTCATTCCTACTGGAGGGAAAATTTGCCTACTTTGAGGAAATTCATGTGTCTAATGTTTCATTTGTGATTTGGGAACCTTAGATCAGACCGTTTGTGCCTAACAGCGACTTAGGCAGCGCTGTTTCTCCTCTGTTCTTTATCTTCCTTGTGCCATGGTAAAGCAGCAATGCCAGAGAAGGCTGTACTGCAATGAACCTCTGAACTTCCTCTTCTTAACTGAAGGATGAAATCTTTCTCAGATTTCATTGTAAAATAGTGCTGTTTTATTAGCTCTTTGGGATTAAGTTTGGTAGTTTAAATTAGTTGTGAATATTCAAGTTTTTGTGTGTGTGTGTGTGTGTGTGTGTGTGTGTGTGATTTCCTTAAAAATTACACCCTGTTAATACTTCCTTTTGCATAGTAGCAAACATGCTAGTTCTTGCTTGGGAATGTGTTATTTCCACCTAAAACCAGTCTGTTATTTTTCTGCTGTAGTGGCATTTGTTTTAAAGACTCCGATGCAAGCGTTGAAGAAGAAGTGCAAAACATGGCGATGTCTGAACAGCCTCTGCCTTGTCAGGTACAGTGCCAAAGTGGTCTTACTCATGGCTACATTTAAACCCTGAACAGAGCAAGCTTGTGGTCAAAGTGTTGCAGCAGTTTGTACCTTATGCACTGGAGTCATCACTAGAAAACATGTGTGGAGTTGTCCCTCCCCAGATATTCAGTAGTTTATTATGGTGAACCACTAATTGTTTCTTTGTGTGCTGTAGAGCCAGTTTTACGTACTGTTAGCCTTTTAAACTAATTTTATTTGGTGAAAATATTCTACATATTTTAGTTTTATATTGTAGTTATATGTGGAAATAGTCTACATATCTAAGTGTTTGTTCCTCTTTTTTTGTGTAGAAAAATGCTCGATGTTCTGCTCAGAAACCCCCAGGGTATGTGTTTATTTCTTGATAGTTGTTTTCCATAAATGATCTTTTAAACCACTTTAGTGTTTTCTGTATTTAACGTGAAAATAAATAGTATGCGTTTCTCTTGTCACATATTATAAAAACAATTCATACTAATTTTTTCTTTTATCTCTGTTAAAGAAAAATTTGTTTTCTAGCACCTATGTTTGATAATGCAGTAAACAGGCAAGTAATGACATCAGATTCGGAAGAAAGTTTGTCAGGTTTTCATATAAATGGAAATGAGTGGGATAAAGATACATACCCTGTGGATGAAAGGTGAGAAAGCATTTTTAATGTGAATCAAAGAATCTTTTACTAAGATTTGTTCGGCAGTTACCATTTGTAGTGGGAAAATACTGCTGTAAAAGTAACTTTCAAAGAAAATTGATACTTGATTTTTTTTAACATACTGTAGCAACTGATATGCAGTGATATTTGATACTTAAAACCACAAGTCATTTGTGTAAAGATATAAAAATAATTACCCTGCAGCCTGTCATGGCAAGTTCATATACTGCAATGTAACAGGTAGCAAGTTCTACTGACATAGTGAATGAAGGACCACAGATAGCCCTTAATATTAGTAGGAAATTTCCTGGATACATTGGCTTGTGGCAGCCTTCCATCAGTGTCCTTCGTGTTTCATCAAACTGTCTTTGACATAGCAAACTTTGCTCAAATAAAATACCTACTATCTGAAATAAGGGAGAAAGAATATTTTTGTTTCATACATGGAAGGTGGGAAAAATTCTACGATCCAGAAATCTTCCAGGAGATCTGTACTAAAGTCTGGAATAGCTTGTGATCAGTTTGATGGCAAGTCTGCTGRCCTTTGTCTGGATTATAACAAAAAAGGAAAATAAAGGGACCAGTGGGAATCTGTAGTTTTCYTAAAAATACATCAGGTAAATGTTGCATTATCTTACAGATTAATTCTGCTATTCTAAATAAGGARGAATATTTAGAATACTAAATAATGAGAGTTTTACTAAAGCCTGTTTAAATGAATSATACTGAGGTTGCCTGGAGAGCATTTAGTGAAGCAGGAGCTATGAGCTCTTTGGCCTTAAATGCTGAAGAAAAATTATAATTGATGTGTGAATGTTTTTCACAAGTAGTGGTTTTTTTTCTTTTTATTAGAGTGACTTTATATGACTTTAAACATGAGTGTGTATTTTGCATGTTCAAGAGRCAAGTTAAAACATTCTTCTATTTTAAATAAAGGAATAGTTTCYTCATTTATTAAAGCAATACAGAGTAATGAATGAAGCAGCTTTATTCTTGTTGTCATATAAAAGAAATCTCATGAAACTTCATCTATGTATGCATAAAACTGAAATTTGGAGAKCTGAGATCCTGTTTGGTGGGAAAAAAAAGTTGATGGATAGCATGGATGCAAACATCTTCTTCTTGATACATGAGTTTGAAATAGACTGAGAAACAACTTGAGAATTGTCATGTTAGTGGCAAGGACGTTCCTCAAGGTAAAAGTCCTTTCAAAGTTACTGTGAAAGATGCTCAGACTTAATTCGCAGAAACATCTTCGTAGTGATGCTCTTTCATGCCCCCATAACTAAGATAAATGTATGATCATTGTGGACATCATCCTTTGTTGAGGAGGGCAACGAAGATGGTTAAGGGACTGGAACATCTCTCATATGAGGAGAGACTGAGTTGGACCTCTTTTCTCTGGAGAAGAGAAGGCTGAGAGGGGATCTGATTAATGTGTATAAATACATGAAGGGGGAACATAGAGAGGAAGGGGCCAAGCTCTTCTCAGTGGTGGCCAGTGACAGGACAAGGGGCAGTGGATACAAGTTGAAACACAGGCAGTTCCATCTCCATGTGAGGAAGAACTTCTTCACTGTGAGGGTGACASAGCCCTGGCACAGGCTGCCCAGGGAGGCTGTGGAGYCTCCTTCTCTGGAGGCCTTCCAAACCCACCTGGATGCTGCCCTGTGCCCCGTGCTCTGGGTGTCCCTGCTGGAGCAGGGGGTTGGACTAGGTGATCTGTAGAGGTCCCTTCCAACCTCAGCCATTCTGTGATCCYGGTGAAGTCTATTTTGCCTGGCATAGAACTAGACTTAATCCAAGAATTTGAATGAGTTTCTTATCCATGGGTGGTAGGTACTCAGATGGAATCTATCTCAGTTTGCCTATTTTCCTTTCTGATTTCAGGTGAGAGCTGTAACTGTACATAATAGGGTTATTTTCTCTTGTTGTTATTTTTAAATTTATTTCTTAACATTTATTTGTGTATTTATTTTTTATTTTATTTGTGTCATATCTGCATAAGTGAGTGAGCCTTGTAGAATGGCATTTCAGCAAGTGGATTACACTTTGCAGAATTGTTCTTGTATCTCCTAAGTTTAACAAAAAAGACACTTAAGTTACTTTTTTATTTTTAAAGGTTTCTTAAAGATTTTGAAAATATAGTGGCTATTGGTGAAGGTGGTTTTGGAAACGTCTTCAAAGCAACAGCAARGACTGATGGAAAAACCTATGCAGTCAAACGGGTCCAAGTCACAAGGTAAGTACTGTATATCTACTTGTATTATTTATTTCAGGACTTCTTTTTTAATAATTTAATTATTTTGTCTCATTAATAATTCTTGTACTGTGTAAATAATTTCCACTATTAGTTGACCATTTTTCTGATTAAACTCAGTTTTCTTTATTTCTAAGTGAAACTGAAAATAGCATGCAACACTGCAATTTTTTTTATGCTGTGAAATAAATTTGGGTGCAGTTGTAAGAAAATGAATTCAGTTTTATTTCCTGTGAACAAAGTTGCAAAGTTGTACAGAATTTTTATTATTTATGGTTATTATATGCTTGAGGAAAACTTGCTGATTTATAAAACATTGAAAGCAGCAATGCTGCCATGGCAGGTTGCATTGTCTGAAAATATACTTATTATTGCAATATGACTGTAACTAAATGGAAAAAAAAGAGAAAATAATACATTTTTTGTGTATGTAGTTGAAACATGCTTCTTATATGACCTGTGTTGTCTTTATTTTGGACCCAGTGTTACTTGTCCTATATAAAACCCAACACAGAATCACTATCTTGAAATACATTACTAGATAGTAGTTATAGAAAATTACTTTAAATCATTTGTCAGCAGCAAAAAAAAAAAAATTCTTTTAATCTATACAGGAAATTCCAAGCTGTGCCTTTAAAATCATAATATGTTACATACGGAGAAAATTGTCTCTAACTGTCTAGCTGTTCTTCTTCCTCCCAATTTTTGTCTCCTCACAATGATACATTRTTTTAATTTGTGTTACAATCCTGAGAACTATACTAAAAACCATTGTACTGTTTCTTCAGATACAGATACTGTCAGCTTTTTCTTCTGGCTCTCTTGAGTGGGACTTTAATTTCTCATGAGGTTAAAATATKTCAGCATCTGGAATAACTGAGCAGATGATAAGAAAACATAGTTTTTAATTACCTTTTTTTTTTTTTCCAAATTAATATAAAACTGTGGAGCTTACAACTGCTCCATGATAGCATGTCTCTCATTGAATTTAGAATTTAATTTTTGTATGAAAATGACATTTGTTTGACCTTTGGACCATTGACTTTTTTTTTTTCCTTTTCCTTTCCTTCTGCGTAGGAATGTAATGCGTGAAGTCCAAGAACTTGCAGGACTSGAGCATGAAAACATCGTGCGCTATTACTGTAGCTGGAGAGGGGAGGACCGTGTTAAAAACCCGGACTCAAGGTAATGACAAGGCAGCTCTGCAGGAGGAAACAGCAGCTCCCAGATTGCAATCACAAACCTTTTTTTTTTTGCTCTAATAAAGTCTGGGTGTAAAGTTGAAGGCTGATGATTGCTTATAAATCTTTCTACGAAGAGCAAGGTGCWCGCATGCTTACTGTTAGAAGTAAAGTCTTGGTGCTCTTCAGCAGCAGTACAGTAATATCTCCTCCTCTTGGTGTGTTACATAACTTTGTCTCTCTTCTGTCTTAGTATGGAGAACTTAGTGACTCTGTGTAAGCCTCTGTGTAAGCCTGTGTAAACTCTGTGAGCCTAAGGTTGCAGAACTCAAACTGTGAGGCTAGAAGCAGCAGCAGAAATTAAAAAAAAAAAAAAAAAAAATCTGTCAGCTGGCTGCCACCATCTTCCTTCCAAAATTGTCTGCTTTTTTGAAAGTGGTGGTCATCTGGCAGCTCTCATAAATTTAATTATTTCTCCAAATTAGCATTTTATCCATGGTGTCTGATACAGCATTGTTTTTGCTGTAGAGCACAGAATACAGAATGAAATGTTCTTTCAATTAGAGGTAGTTTTTCAACACTAGGACTTCCAGCAAGACAATAGTGAGAAGTTTATTGGTAAATATGAACATTACCCAAGTTTCTACTGTAATCTGTCTTTGTCACTAGCAGTAGATTAATACTCTTCAGGTAGGTTATCACCCTTACCTAAAATATTAATGGATTAAAAATTAGACTTAATATTCAGTGTGCTCAAAAAAAAAAAAAAAAAAAAAAAGAGGAATAACATGATAGGGAGAAGAGTCATTTTCAAAAGCAACTGTTAATATAGCAGTATTGACAGTTAATATAACAGTATTAATGGAGGAGTCTCAGTATTATGTATTTGATTTTGAACAGTTATTGGAGGAAAAAAAAAAAAAAAAAGAAACAGAGAAAACCTTCAAAGCTGAGGTCCCAAACTGAAATTCCACTTAACTGCCCTGACCTCAGGGCTGCAGAATAATACCATGCCTTAGAAAACCCTGTTCCAAGGCACTGAGGTTGCGTTGACTTTTCCTGTTTGCACTGTGCTACATGCTCAGTGTTGCGCTGTCCTGCCCCTCTCCATCTCTGCCCTCAGCCTGTCCTATGCCCGCATGGGGAGGGAGCCCTTCTGGAAAGCATGAGGCTGTCGGCGCGGTGAATATATTTAATTTAGGTTTCAGCTTTCACAATTGCTGCTCTAACTCCCAGTCTGATGTAAAATACGGCTGCCACACTCCCTTCTCCGAGGGAAGAACGTGAGAGGAACGTGGCTGTGGGTATGTGGGGCAGCAGAGGAACAGCCTGCTGGTGCGCTGAGCAGTGCGGAAAACTGGAGTGGTTCCCGGTGGGCAAGTGGGAGCCAAGGCCTGTGCTGTTTCTGGCTGCACGGGGCATGGCTCTGGGTAGGAGGGCAGCAGAATTTGGCCACTCGGAACATTTTCAGTGCAGGTTAAGTCTTCCAAGGGTAAGCAGGAATAGAGATTCTATAGTTTGCAGTTTTACTTATTTAGATCTAGTGCAAATTGATCTGGGCCTTGCACTTGTTCTCAGGAACTCCACAAATAGTAACAATTAAAATAAAAAAGAAGAAAGAAAGGAGCCGGAGAATCATAGATGCAGTAGCAGCCTGAGAGGAATTGTATTTTGCTGTTTTAATGTAGTTATGTGATTTGCTTTTGCAGGCAGAAGGCCCYCCTAAAATGTGAATGTCTTTTTATCCAAATGGAATTTTGTGAACAAGGGACATTGGAAAACTGGGTCGAAAATAATCRAGAAAAACAGAACTATCAGCAGATGGCACAAGACAAATTTTTGCAGATAGTGAAAGGAGTAGGATACATTCATTCTAAAGGGTTAATTCATCGAGACCTCAAGGTAAGTAGAATAGGTTATTTTTTTTTAATGGAAAAATCTAAGTGGGACTTGCTTGTAATTCAGACAATATTACGTTCTTGTAGTCTTTGCTTATTCTAAGATGTGCCTTAGTGTGCCCCTTCTGATGCCATCAGTAATATTTTTTTTCAGCAAACAGTTTTAATTCTGAAATCAGAGAGCGAACAATAGGATCTCAGAATGCACTAGCAGGGGGTACAAGACTGCCTATGGGAGAAAGTAATAGCAACTTAATTTAGTAATAAAATTATATACAACATTTTTCTTATAGTAACAGTGACATTTAATCAGCCTGCTTACCAATCTTATTTAAAAATAATAATAAAAAAGTCTTGAAGATTGAAATTGGGAAGTTTGCTCTTCTTGTATTATGAAGGGGTAATACACGCTGCATTTTATAAGTACATATTCTGGTTGTTGTCGTACACGTGTACACATACGTATGTGTATGTTGCCTTTTTACTTTTTAAAAACTGTAATATTCTATGCAAAATATGTCTGAAGAGTGAGAAAACGTGACCTGAGCTAGTGAAAAATGCTATGGCTGCTGTGGTGTGTGCCATTTTAAATTGGATTTGTGTGTTTGAATACATAAATGAATGTTCTTTTATTCCCTTTCCCCCGCATTTATTTCTTCGTGCTTTATAACTGACTTTATAAGGAGCATTTTTGTGGTGCTTATGAGTGACAATAAATTCCAGACATATGACTTTTTTTTAATTTCTTCCTCCTCCCCATAGCCTCAAAATATATTTATATCAAGTGAAGATAAAATAAAAATAGGTGATTTTGGACTTGTGACTTCCGAGTCCTACAAACCTCTGACAGAAAACCGAGGAACAAAATCCTACATGGCACCGGAACAGGTAATTGTGTAGACAAGGTTTTAAAAGGCCTTTAATCTATTGTTACAAGGCTATGGGTTATGCACAGTCCTGATACTGAAACTAAACCAGGCCTAAAGTTGCCCGGTTTAACTGTTGTAAATTACCAGCTTTGGAGATTTTGTGTAAGTAACGCTCTTGTAGAAACAGGGCATCTCCCATGAGTTCAATTGGAGTTGAAGAAATTCAGGACTTGTGCTTATTGTGAGTGCCTGTGTTTCCTTCCCAGAAAGATATTGACCTGTCTTATGCTATAGGTTAATAGAAGTGTCTATTGTAGGGTTTCCGTGTAACACAGTGTGTAACGCAAAGTATTTAACAGGTCTTTGGCACAGAGGATTAAGGACTAATTTGAAGATCAAGTGTTAGTTCCAGGCCTGTAGCATTAGGTAAATTCTCTACTGATTTCAAAATAATCAAGGTGCTATCAAGCTGGATTTGATGGAAATAAATGCATAAGAATGCATTACAACTTATGCCTATGTTTTTCTTCTTGCAATCTTTGTAGTTTGGAAACACATATGGAAAGGAAGTAGATATTTATGCACTGGGATTAATATGGTTTGAAATTGCTTCCGCATTGGCTAGTCATCACGAGAAAAGTATAGTAAGTAATCTTTATTATTATTTTTTAAAGACAAAAGTGTCTGGCTTTCCCTTGCTGCTTGTGTCTCATGCTGCGTAGATGCTGGTGGGAAGCTCTATCTCAAGGACTGTCCCTGCTGATTTGCACTTCCCCCTGTGCAAGGACTGTAGGTCTATCACACTTCAGTTAAAATAGAGCAACTCTGGTAAAGAAATACTGTTTTTATTTTATTTTACTTCTGAGATACAAACAAATTAAGGCTTAAGTGTTTAGTCATGTGTTTGTATCTCTGGGAAACCTAGCAAACAGCTACAAATTACTAACTATTAAAAAAATCTCAAGTTTCTGAAAAATCCTTTTGTTTGATCAGAACACTGGAAAAGATTTGTCTATTTTTAGGAAACAAATCCTTAAGAAAGGGAGAGGAGACTAGTCTCTGCCTAGTCTTTTCACTGCAGAGTGAAGCAAGAACAAAATTTCCTTCCAGCCAAGACATTTGCAGCTTTCCAAAATGGAAACAAAAGCAAATCCAGTATGAGTGTTGGAATATTAATTGCATTAACTAGAAAAGATGGTACTTGAAAAAGAGATCAAAGAAATCAAATTAAAAGATACCCTTCAAAAATTTGTTTTGACCTTTTGCATAGTACTTTGCACATCAGTAATACAACAACCTACATATTTGTAGGGGGGAAGCTGAGTGTCTTCCTACCTAGGCTTATTATTTTGTAAGATATGCGTCTTGCAAATACACAGGGGTGTTGGACCTAGGAGCTCTTTGACCACATCAGTTTGGCCCTTTGCCGGGCCAAACTGCTTCCCAAAGTGGCGGTTGGGCTTTCAGAGCCACCCTTGCTCTGCTTGGCTACCTTGTAGTATTTTCTAAGGCATCTTGTTGCTGCTCACAGCTGCCTGTGCTGATGTGTCCCCAGTTGCACGGTGATTCAAGTTAAAAGGACAAGATCAATTTTTTTTTTTTTTTTTTTTTTTGGGGGTTTAGCTTCCTTAAAGCCAAGTATAGAAGTCCTGTGGCTGTATGGAAATGGGGAAGTCATGTGGATGGAAAGTCCTAGGATGCTCTTCAGCTGCTCAAAACAACAGCTTTACTCCGAGCCTAAAATCCCTTGTTGGCCAGCCCTGCTGAAGGACCATCGTGCCAAAGCAGGGCTGGCAATCCGAGTTCAGTAGCTGGTGCATTGATGGCTGTCAGCAGGCAGCATCMGAAGCCTTCATCATTTGGTGATGGAGAAGAAAAAAGCTTGCAGATCATGGGAGCTGTTGTTTTACTGGACACTCATTATACAAGTTGGCTAAACCAGCCAAGTGGCATCCAAAAATCTAGCTAATGAGTCAGGCCCCGTAGTGTTCAGGAGCAGAATCGTCTCTTCCCTCAGACACACATTACAGTAGTTACCAGCTGAGTGGGTCATGGGGGTTTGTTTGGTTACCCAGAATTTTCCTAATTACTTCAGTAAATTATGTAGATCAGAATCTAGGGTGCAGTGAAAACATAGTGAAAGTGTTATTTGATTTTCAGATTTGGAAAGATGTTAAAGAAGGCAACTTCCCCATGGACTTCACGCGAAAATTTTTAGCAGAGGTATAGTATTTTAACCAATTCCTTCAATTGATTTATTTACTCAAAAATAATCATCTATGCTGGTTTCTTTTTCTTATAACGTAATTTCTTTTTCTGCAGGCGGCCATGATGAAAAAGATGCTTTCAAAAGACCCCAAAAAAAGACCTCCCGCATCTGGGATACTCGCATTTGTTAAYGCCATCGTTCAAGACAATCCGCATAAAGCTCATACTCACTAAATGTCAATCTGAGAGACTTCTAGACTTGATGGATCTAACTATTTTGAAATTGTTGAAACATTGTGTAAGAAGCAACAGCAAGACTTGACTCTGTTTGGTGCCTAGTCCTCCTGCTGTCTGTCCTCATAGGCTGAGGAGCTTAGTGACTCAACAGTCCTATCACCATTCACTCCAATCAGCTGCAAAGCAGGGCGTTCCCCCAACGTCCTCMTGTAGATATTATGGGGTTTTTTTCATTTTTTTTTCAGCTGGTGCAACCAACTATGCATGAGATGAACTATGTTACTTAGTATGAACCTTGCCCGTGGCTTCTAGAAGATCAAGTTAATGTAGTGCTGATTTGTGRCAATTGCCTCTATGCCTGCTCTTAGACATGCTGTATCTACTTGTGAGTTGAGGTCATCTGTTGCTTTCTGTGAAAGTGCTGTCTTTGGGCATGGGAATCAAAATATTTGGATTATTTCGTGGTGATGTTATTACTACAGCTACCACAATGTTCCCTTTCAGACCACAGGAGGTAACATGCTGAACTGAAAGGAAAAACTTTTTAAAAACAAACCAAAACTAGAAAGATGTTCACGCTCTTAAAGTAAGTCTCCAACTTACTTTAATGGACAGCGTGTTCTCGGTGACCCTGCTTCAACAGCAGGGCAGGATTGGATGATCTCCAGCAGTTGCTTCCAACCTCAACCATTCCGGGATTCGGTGGAACGCTCCTTCAGAATTTAGTTGTTAAACAACCACTTTCAGAAATCTACTTGAAAAATAACTGAACTTCTGAATAGTTTTTTCTAAATGGAACACTTAGGTACTCTAAACTACAGAAATTCTTTCTAGATTTTTCTCCGTAATAAGTATTTAAAATCTTTCTCTCAAGAAAGCACCTCAAAAAGAGCACCTAAACTATAGGTATTGTTAGTTTTTATCCTTGTAATACCAAAGCATGTGCAACATGTTTTTAACAAGTGTTCTAAACACCTTGATTGATCTTCTCTCATTCCCACAAAATGTAACAACGAAGTTTGTTTCTTATCCTTTAGTTGCAGACTCTCACAGCGTTCTGAGTTGTAAGAACTTGGGGTCGGGAGAAGTAGGGGGGAAAAAAGAAAAATYAGCCCTTCAAATACTTATCTGAGCTGCGTTTTTTTTTTTTCCCCCCAAACTATTTCTAGCTGTACACTCCACCTGAATTCATAAAAGGCAAATGATCAGAGATTTCTAAGCAGGACAAATAGGTAATGGGTGTAAGAACTTAACTTACTGAATGATTTTCAAAATTAAAAATGGATGTTTGGTTAAAAGGAATAATGCATTCTTTTTTTCTTCACAACTCCATACAGCACACTGCGGGACTACGTCCTCTTTCCTTGCACCTCAACATTAGGGAGAGATAATACCTTGATACAGGCAAAACACCACTTGGTGGACTTCCTTCTGCACTTCCAAACTCTAGAAACTACTAGTTTCAGGTGTTTTTTTCTTTTTTTTTTTTTTTTTTTTTGAACAGCTCAGGATCAGAATACCTATGAACTCACATTACTCCTTACTGCTAGATCATACTAAACTTTGTGCACCACTGAGATATTTATTCTGTAGTGATCTACATAATTCCATACTCTATTAGTGAGTGTTTACAGGAGCTGCTGCCATTCTATAAGAAAAATAACAAAAATAGTAAAATATTTATTTAACATACCCCAAGAGTCTACAACATGCCACTGCTAGATCCAGGAGAATATCAGTTCTAATATCACTGTAATATTTCACAAACTTTTTTCATCAGCTCTAACAGGATAAGAAAAAGAAACTCACTGCATAAATGTACAGCTATTTTTGTAAAGATATATTTAAAAACAAACACACACTTGTTTTAACTAGTTAACTGTTTAAAGTATGGTAAGCTATCCCCTCATTTAAACCTGTGTTCTATTATTAGCTGATCTTGCTCCAGCCAGAGCAAGCAAAGACTGCTGAAAGTCTTACTTGCCTCTAAATTACAATAGTGGAAATAGATTTTTTTTAAAACTCTGATTGAATTGTTAATCAAGCCAAAAATACATAAATGCTTCAGAAATGTACAGTTTAAGCAGTTGTCAACATTCTTCTGCTGCAACTTTGTAGGAGTTCTTCTGAGTCTGGCAGAGCATTGTATCTTCTTTAAAAAGAAAAAAAAAAAGTTTATGAACTATATACATGTTCGTCTAGGATTCTTTTCTTGAGGAAAACTTTAGTCGTGGTCTGCAGCACTGTCTCCAGGGCAGTTTGAAGATAAATCTTCAGCATCTACAAGATAAGCAGAGAAAAGTCAATGATTCCAACTAAGAGGGGACCTTAAAAAGATTCTCAGAAGTTACTTGTAGATTCTGTAGAAACAGATTATCTAAAATTCATGAAGGTTTGCAAATTTGACACTAGGGTTACTTGTATTATGAATTCCAAAATATATTTTAAAACAAGGAAAACAAATGAGTTTAATTCCACCCTCTTTGCTGCAATGAGAAAAGAGAGAGTGTTCTAGCATTTTCAGAAATATCTGTAAGCTTTCACAGATTTTATTGTATGGGTTTTAGTAACTGATTTTTTTCTTCAAAACCAAACAAATCTGAACACTAATTCAAATAGATGCTACTATTTGTATTTTGTGCACGCTGACGACTCAGACCTGTCTTAAAACCGTACTAGCCTACCAAGCTTGGTGCAGAAGCAGCAACCAGGAAAGAAAATTTCGGCACATTTTAAAGACTGCCATAAAAGCAGCAGCAATATATACCATGGGTACATATACTAGGTTGCGTCTGTATATATACACACAAACATCAGTACTCTTATGCATTGATATAGTTATGAGGTCTTAACAGAGGAGAGCTTTCCTCTCTCTCTTGCAGCACATGCTGGGCTGGATAAGTGCCCACAACGCATGACCTTCTCCTAAGCCAGCTAACAGAACAGAAAAGGGCCCTTCAGGTAGCACAGGCCCAGGGGAAGGATATTTTTGTAGGAAAACATCTCTGACAAAGTCAAAGGTATCCAGTACCAACCATCTGCATTAAGGTAAAGGAAATAYGGTTAAAGAAATTGGAATAGACTCCATGGGCTGCTCTCCGATTCTGGACCTCAGAAAAGGGCAAGTGACTGAACAGAACAAATCAGAACAAGAGAGATGTGCAGGGATCATGTCTATAGCACTGTCCTCAGTGAAAGCACAACAAGGTAAAGATTAAGTGTATATATATCATACTACCTGAGTTTAGACACACAACCAAAATATTACTCTCACCTTCGTAGGTTATGCCACACCAAATGCAGTAAAAATGTTCTTTTCTTAAGTAGGCAGTCAGGAGCTGTAACTTTTCTGATACCTAGAAGTATTTATAAAAACAGAGTGATCAGGTGCTTATGATATAGTGTTATGAACTACTGGCTTTACTGAAGTGCCCTGTTTTCCCCAGCAGGAGGTTAAAGTCCCACACGACTTATGCTTAGTAAGGCATAAGATCCCCAAACTGTAGCCAAGATAATAGGAATCCCAAACTTAGGTGCTTTATTTCACATACATGTTAATTTTGGTGGATTTTTTCTCCTCTGCCAATCAAAACACAAAAATGAACAACGTGGTGTGATCTAGGTCCCAGAAAAAGTTTATTTCTGGTATTCAGATTACCACTGAAACAATTTCAGAAATCTAGTTAATTTTCTTTTCTTAAAAAAACCTCTAAAAGAGCTTCTAAAATCCTGTCCAAGACATGAGGCATCCAAAATTAAAATCTGAAAGCAAATAATTTGGCATTCATCAAATAAATGATTTTGCAAAATCTTGTCTAAGACATGAAAGTGTTTAGAATTTCATCTCTAGAGAACATTTTTTTTTCAAAGTACTCTTTTCAAAGTTCAAAACAGATCACCAATAACAAAGTGTTTTAATGTTTTGCATTCCATAGAATTGTTGTAGAAATATTTGCTGCAAGAATGCAGAGAGGCCACTCTAATTCTAGCAGCACTTACACTGAGGTCTGAACTTGTGCATTCATCTTCTTTCTCTTCTTCCTCCTTTTGCTCTTCCTCTTCAGGTTGTGTCCAATACCAGATCTCCTTGGGAACATCAATATCCTTAATAATGAAAGATTTAAAGAAAATTAGCTCCTCTGTAGGTTATCCTAAAATATACTRGATAAAAATCAATTTCTAGGTGAGACAGTAGGCTTTAAAATTTTCTTACAAATTATATTCAAGAACTATCAAAGCTGTAGTAGAAAACTACATACAGCAGTTCCCAGGAAGGATTATTAACTTTTGACAAATGTAGATGCCGACTACTATTAATTTTTATTCCACTGATGTTCAGTATGTGTAAGGAATATACACAGGAACATGATCTCACACCAAGGCTGTGCAGTGACCTTTTCTAGACCTGCTGTTATCAGCTGAAGATATTTTACCCGAAGTTCTTTTAGCAAGAAACTCCAGCCCACAGAAACATATCTGTCCCACCTTTTGCATATCCAACTGCTGGCAGGCCCTCTGGCTTCTTCGGAGGTCCCCTTCCATTTTACGTTCCTCTTGTTTGGTTTTGAATCTTGTTCTGTTAAGAAAAATTAACTGGCCAAAATGAGCAAACAGATAAAAACTGAGATGAGCTACAAAGCTTTTTGAAAATAGAAAATCTGTTAACATCTCAGCCATACAATCCCCTCAGATTACTGGAATCAGGCCAGAGAAGACAATTCTAAGCCTCTTCCAACATTGTTTCTGTAGGAATATGCATATATTTCTTGAGAACGATGCTGTTAAGTTACACTTCCAGGATAAACCTTTTGATCACACTACATCCTCTGAATGCTGTTTCTCCACCAGATTTATGCAAGATATGAAAAAATGGTAATGAATCATCTGCAAAAAACAGGTCCTTCCCAAGGTTTTTCTTCACCACACATAAACAAGCACATCAGGGGAAGAAAAACATACTAAAAAAATTGTTCTGATTTTTAATTAGTTCTAAACGAAAAACACTGAGGCAATACAGTACTGATGGGGTTCTCTTCTCAAAAAGCTAATCTGATTCTCAGATTTGAAAAGCTGCAAATGCTTTCTTCCAGAAAAAAGGTAATTTATATTGCTTGCATTGCTAACAAAAATACATTAATATTGCACTGTTCATCTGCTGTTGCTTTAGAACTGAGAAGCAATTACAAATTTTGAAACAATATATGTTTCAAATSCTTCCCTAAGGCAAAGCATTCTGAGCTAGTAACACACTGGAAGAATAACCAAGCCTAAAGCCTATGAAAAATGTCCCTATAGCCTCTGCTTGAAGCGTTAATTACGTCACTTTACCTGAACTGATCTGCAGCCTGTTCATTTGCTTTCTTTTTCATATGGAGTTTTTGTCTGTAGCTTTCTAGTTTTTCTTCAGCTTTTCGCTTTTTGAATTCGTCATGACCAAGTCCACTCCTGCCTGCGTGTGTTCAAAATATGAATGCGAGCAGTTGAGAAGCTCTAGTAATAAGTAAAATAAGTAAGTCAAGTAAATTAGGAAGTATCACACACCTGTTTTTATGTTCAGAGGAATAGGTTCAACGATGCCTTCTCCTGTGCAGAACAAAATATGCAATTTAAGAAACCAGGTAACCAGGTCTCTTCCAAACCACCATGCAACATATTCAAGTAGGCAAGTGGCTTTTATTATTACACTTTTGAGACTTCTTGAAGTTTCCTTGTTTGGAAATTGAAAAATAATCCTGCATCGATATATGCTTTGGGTATCAGAAAGAACCCAGCTGAACTGCAAATCCTATTTCATTGTTTGTTTGATGGCTACGTGCTGTTTACAGGATGGTACCAAACTGGCACTGATTTGACAGGTATAATACACCCKTGAGCAACAGCACCTCGCTATGTTCTTGTGTAGCACTGCTCTTTCTAGAGTCTCATGACTTGACAAACCTCAAGACTATAAAGAATCTTTCTGGGTCAGTTTATTTGCTGTTTATCTGCCAGCAATGGCCTACCAAGCATTGATGTTTTGTTCTGACCGATTTTAAAACGCTTTCTGCCGCGGCTTGGCAGCAGCAGCCCGGTGTGCACCGTCCTCTTCAGAAGCCATCTGTAAGTTTAAGTGTGCGTGTGAGGTGAGGGGGACCTTTTCGGAGCCCTGCAAGGCTGGCAAAACAAATTCCTGCTGCTGTTTCTGTAACACCGTGCAGCCATGGGAATGCCCCTTGGCCGGCAGGAGGTGCTGCTGCCGGCCTCCCTCGGCAGGTTCCTCCCCAGCCATCCTTATCCCAGGTCTCACTGCGCCGGCTCCGTATCCGGGCGCACCCGTGGCCGCCGYGGGGACTCACCGCTTTTGCCGAGGGCCTGGCCGCTCTTGTAGCCCATCTTCTGCAGCAGCGCGAAGCCCCTGTTCTCGTTGCCCAGCGCGCTCCTCAGCACCGCCTCGCGCCGCTCGTGCTCCTCTTCTTTCACGCTCTTCTGCTTGTTCTTCTCGTTGGCTTCTTTCTGCTTCTCCTCCTTCTGAATGGCCTCCCTCACCCGCCGCACCATGGGCAAGCCGGGCCTGACGTCCTGCCTGAGGACAGACACCCCCAGGGAGCGTTAACCCTTAGGGATGGACAACCCCTCGGGATGGGCACACCAGGGAGCATTAACTCTTCAGGATGGACACCCCCTTGGGATGGCCARCCCCAGGGAGCATTAACCCCTCGGGATGGGCACCCCCAGGGAGCATTAACCCCAGGGATCGCCAGCCCCAGGGAGCATTAACCCCTCGGGATGGGCACCCCCAGGGAGCATTAACCCCAGGGATCGCCAGCCCCAGGGAGCATTAACCCCTCGGGATGGGCACCCCCAGGGAGCACTAACCCCAGGGATCGCCAGCCCCAGGGAGCATTAACCCCTCGTGCTTCCCAGCTTGCACAAGAGGCAGAAACCCACCGACGCTGACTTACTGGATGAATGCATCGGACATGTAATCCTCCTCCTCGTCTTCCCCCATGCTGAACACGCATGCCCTTTTCCGCACCCTCGGGCTTATAAACACTGCAATTAAATAATTACAAATTAAGAGAAAAAAAGTCCCAAAGGGTTAAGAATAGACGCAGGCGCCCTGGAGTTCAGCGCGGTTTCTGCTTCCGCGATGCGCCAGAGCCGCCGGCCGCGGCGGGCGCCATTTGTGCCCTCCCCCGGCCGCCCCGGCCCCCAGCGCGGTCCGTGCCGCGGGCCGGGGCGCTGCGG